CTCCTGTCCCCATCAGGACATCAGAGCTCCTGTCCCCATCAGGACATGGGGGCTCCTGTCCCCATTGCCAGATTCCTGCCCCCATCACCGCTCACCCGTCCCCATCAAAGTGACACCAGGTTCCCATCACCAGGCTGCTGACCGTGCTGCTGACACCAGCTGCCAGCTCCCACCACGCTGACGCCGGCTTTCTGTCCCCATTGCTGCATTCTGTCCCCATCGCTGCATTCTGTCCCCATTCCCGTCCCCACCGAGGTGACAATGCCCTTCCCATCCCCATCGCTGGGTTCCCGGCCCCATCCAGGTGACGATGCTGCATTCCTGCCCCCCTCATCGTGCTGACTTTGGCTTCCCATCCCTGCCGCAGGGATCTCAGCTTCTCGCCCCCATCGCAGCCCAGACGGAGGCGATGCTGCATCCCTTCCCACCCCCCCTTGGCCCCCCCTCTCACCTCCCTCTTCTTCTTGGCCTTGATCTCCTCGGCGCTGGCAGGCAGCCCTTTCCTCTTGCCGCTCTCCGCCTTCTCCCTTCCTTTGTTTCCATCCCCCTCTTTCATCTTTTTGTACTTTTTCATAAACTCGGAGATGAGTTCGGGACAATCCAGGTTCTTCTCCGGCTCCCAGGTGTTGTGTTCCCTACAAAAACCATCCCCCCACCCCCCCAAAAAACAAACCCAAAAACAAAACCAAACCCAAACCATCACCATCGGGAGGGGGGAACCGAAACCACGGAGCGAACAGCACAGAAAGGAATTTCAAAGGGGGATGCAGGGGGGGGGGGGAAAACTCACTCAGAGAAGCCTTTCCACTTGAGCAGATATTCCACCTGCCCCTTCACCACCCTCCTGTCCAGCACTCTCTCCACCACATATTCCTCCTCGTCTTCAGACGATGAACTGTCTGCTGTCCTCTTGCTTTTCTTGCCCATAGCGGAGCAGCGGGCGCCCAAGCCACCCAAATCCTGCAGGAGGCGAAAGGCCGGCAGTTAATGTGGGTCTTCCGGCCCGGCGCCCCCCCCTCCCGCCCCCCCCGGCGCGGAGGGGGGCTTAGAAACACCCAAAAAAAGCCCTAAAACTCACAGGGGATTCGCTGAAACATCCAACCCCATCTTTTCTCTTCGGGGAGCTTTGAACCCCACGGAGGAGCAAAGAGGCTTCAAACCCACCTCCGACCCCCCCTCAACAGCACACAGCATTTTTGGGGTTCAATTTGCCTCTTTCTTGGCACAGCTTCCAAGTGCTGAACGGCCCCAAATCGCAGCCCAGGTGTCGGCCTCAGCAAGGGGCAAAATTAATACTAATCATCCTCATCATCATCATCATCATCATCGCTTCTAAGGCGAATCCCACACCGGGGGCACGCAGCCAGGCCGTGTTGTTGTAACCTTGGGTCAAGAGCTTTGCTTTCAAGGCACACACGTCTCTATCAGGATCTTTGATTGCCAATTAAAACCCAAAGGAAACCAAGAAGCCAGGAAATTCCTCATCCACTCCATTCCCCCCCCGCTGGGCATTTCCTGCTTCTCACCCAAAGCCAAAAAAGCATCGCTGCCCATCCCTGCAAAACCCTGCCAACCAACCCCCCCCCCCCCCCGCCCTGCGGTGGTGTGTTTTGGGGGGGGAAAGAAACCCCAATCCCCCCCCCCCCCAGGCTGCTGCATCCATTGGAAGGGCAGCAGTTCCTGGGGACGCCGCGTGTCGGAGTGCTGGAGGAACAAAAGAAAAGAATGGGGCTGGTTTGGGAAGAAGGGGAGGTGTTGAGGCACGACTTGCTTTGCTCTCCCATCCCGGGCTGGGATTCGATGAAACGCCTCCGTTCTGATGGTTGGGGATGGAGACGGAGCGCGGCTCTCCCAAAATGCAGCTTTTAAGCCCCAAAATGGTTAAAAAGCAAGGGAAAAAAAAACCCCAAAGAGCCACTGCAGAGCCAAGCAAAGCCTGCCCTGGGAAACCCAAAACACTGAGGGTTGGATGGAAGGGAGGGGGGTGAAGGAGGGGGGGTCGGAGCTGGCGCCGCGACGCCACAACGACGGCCCCCCCTCGGAGTGATTTATGGAGCCAAGCAGGCGGAGCTGGGGGCCCTGGGAAAAGGCAGAACAACACTGAGAGCTGCGGCGGACAGACGGACGCGACCGTGGGTCCCAGGGGATCCTGAACCAACTTCCCCCCGACCTCCCAGCACAAACGAAACCCTGGAAATAAAGCCGTTTTTGGGGGGCTGCCCCCACAGGGGGGTTCTGCCTCGTTACACCTCTGTGTGTCTGTGCTGTAAATCAGCCCCGAGATGCGGCTAAATGAACCCAAACCAGCCCTGAGCTTTTTCTTGCACCCCATCCAACTTGGGGGTCTCCCCTGCAGCTCCCACCCGTCCCGTTCCCCTGCAATTCTTCCCCCTGGCAAAGGATGAGCTGTAAAGAAACGGAGCGGGCGATGACAGGAGAAACAAACCGCACCGAAGTCGCTGAGCCTCGCTGGGGCCTCTGAGCAGCCCCCACTGATGGCTGAGGGCGAGTTACTGCCCCACATCTCAGCATCAGGGGTTGGGAAGGGCCTCCAGAGGTCATCGAGTCCAACCCCCCTCCAAAGCAGATCCTACAGGTAGGTGTGCAGCTGGGTCTGGGATATCTGCAGAGAAGGAGGCTCCACCACCTCCCTGGGCAGCCGGTTCCATCACTCTCACCTAAAGAAATCCTTGCCCACAGTTGTACAGCACTTCCTGTGCTCCATTTCCGGCCGTTTCCCCTCCTCCTGTCTCCACAGGCGGCTGAAAACAATCCGGCCTCGCCGCTCTGCCCCCCACACCTCAGATATTTACAGACCTGGATCAGCTCCCCTCTCGGTTTTCTTTTCTCAAGGCTAAACAGACCCGGTTCACTCAGCCTTTCTCCATAGCAGAGATGCTCCAGGCCCTTCACCATCTTTGTGGCCCTCTGCTGGACTCTTTCCAAAGAATCCCTGCCTTTTTTTGTATGGGGGAGCCCAGAACTGGACGCAGCACTCCAGTATTCCAGCACCACACGCTTAGGGGGCCGCCTGGCCCACAAAACGGGTCCAAAAGGACCCCAAATTTCAACCTCCCCCCCTCTGAGAGGGGAAACAAACAGACGGGGGAAACAAGCAACGGGCGCAGGGTGAAGGGAAGCTTTGGGGGGGGCTCTATGGGGCTGAGGGAGGGGGTCACACCCACACCCCCAACCCCAGGGATGGGGCAGAGCCCTCATAAAGCCCGGCCTGTGGGGGCAGCAGCCAAAGGAACGCAGCCCAACAAGGCCGCGGCGCAGCGCAAAGGCCGCACCGAGCAGAGCCGGGCCTGAAGGGGGATCCGGGAGGCCAGGAGCTGGTTGAGCCTCCCCAGGCCGCCCTCAGACCACCGCCACCACCACCCCCAGAGACCCCCAGGGCCGCCCTCAGGCCCGGCCGGAGCACCGCCGCTCCTCACACGACGCTGCCCTGAAGAGAAAAGCGGCGCAGCCTCAGCGACTCCCCCTATTGGCTGCCGCCACTTTGCGCCTCCACCTCCCCGCGCTCCCATTGGATGGCCGCACTGTCACTCAGCGACCACTATTAACACCTGCTTATACGCCGCCACGCCCCCACCTCGCTCCTATTGGCCGAGCGAGCCGTCGCTCCTCGCCGAAGCCCTCCTCTCCTCCACTGCCATTGGTCGAGTTTCCCGCTACTCGCCCCCGCCCCCCGCTGCTGCCATTGGTGCGCGCCGCTGCCAATTCCCTCGCCGGAGCCCGCCCCCAGCCTGCCCCCCATTCATCCGCCGCCTGCCGCCGCTACCTGCCCAGGGAGCGGCACCGGAGCGGCTCCGTCCGCCGCGCTCTCACCGCTCCTCCGAGCCGCCGCCGCTCCGCGCTCCGCCCGCCAAAACCCGGCCGCAGCGCGCAGGCGCCGCCAACCCCGCAGCGCGCATGCGCCCTCCATCCCCTCCTCGACTCCCCCCTCCCCCACCTCAAGCTGCGCATGCGCTGAGCGCGGTGCACCTTGGGCGCTGCCGGGCGGGCGGCCCCCGCTCGCCGCCGATGCCGGGAGTCACCGCCGATGCCGCCCACCGCGCTGAGCAGTGCTCGCTGACCTCCGCCGGTCCCGCCGCGGGGCAGCGCTGAGTGACGGCGGGGCCGGCCAATGACAATGTAGCCGCCGCCGCGCTAGCCAATGAGCGGGAGGCGAGAGGTGGGACCGCCACCGAGAGAGCAAATCGGAGGAGAGCTGGGGAGTCTCCGGGTCGGAGCGGGAAAAGCAGCGCGGGGCGGGGCCGCGCCAGCCTCGTCCAATCGACGAGGAGTAGAGGCGGGATCTCCCTCCTCCCCACCAATTAGCGGTGGCGGTGCGGGCGGAGCGGCCGAATGCAACCAATGAGCCCGCAGCGCTCTCTCCCGCCGCCCAATGGGAGGCGGCGCGGGGGCGCGGAACGGCGGGCGCCGCCCAATGGGAGCGGCCGGGGGGCGGGCGTTCGGCGGGGGCGGTGGAGTGAGGCGGCGGCGCTCTCTTCGCTCGGCCCCTTTCTGTGTCGGCGCCTCGCAGAGGGAGCATCGCGCGCTGAGCCGCCCGCCGCCCAGCCCTCCCGGCCCCGCACCGCCGCCATGGCCAAGTCGGAGGTGAGTTTTCCTCTTTTCTTCTCCCCGCTCCGCTCCGCCACCCCTCCGCGGCCTTCCCCGCCCCCGCCGCTCCTCTCGGCGCCGCGCGGGCCTCGCTCACTGCGCCTGCGCGGGCCTGCCGCCCGACGCCCTGTGCGCATGCGCTGACTGGCCGCCTCGCG